CCCCAAAACCCCAAAACCCCAAAACCCCAAAACCCCGAACATCATCAAATTTATTGAATAAATTTGTAAAGTTTATCTTGAAACACGATAATGGAAGTTGAAGCTCTACAGAAAAAGAGAAGGTACATACCAGTCCTTTATCCTATTATCCCACACTTGTATCCACTAATTCGGACATGTTGAGGCACTTTGTTGGTTTCATAGCTCCTTCATTAAGAAAATACTAAATTATTACGTATAGAGGTCACTCTTCAAGAAAGATGGCAACCAAGAAGCTAGCACCAGCAATAGAAAAGTCGAACAGAAATGCAGGGAAAGGATCAAGAGATCAGAAGAAGATAGGGTTCAAGAAGCAGAACGATCTTGATGGAGAAGAAATCACATCAAATGATAGCTCTATTGAGGAGAATAAAGATGATTTCTTCATAGAGTCTGAAGAAGGTAAGCCAAAACATCTTATTTTTAGATGAAAATCCTGATGAGAAGCGTACAAGGATCGCTAAAGAGCTCCTCTCTAAGATTAATAATGATGTCGATCATGAAGAGATGAAGGATGAAGAAGAAGATGAGTTCTTGCAAGGGCTCAAGTCCCAAGCTGACATTGAAAAGGATGAAATTGTAGCTAATCTTCTTAAAAGAAGAGCTATTGATGCTAAAGGAAAGTTACACAGAAAGCTAGCAGATAGACTTGATATTGAAAAGTGTTCAACTGTGTTTATTAAAGGGCACAAGAAGGCAATAACAGACTTCGTGTTTACCAAAAACGAGAAGAAGCTGTACTCTGTGTCTAAAGATTGCTGCATTCTTGAATGGGATCTTGAAAAAGGGACTAAAACTATATTCAACAAAGGCAAGAAACATGAAAGAGACTTAAAGAATGGAGGCCATTATGATGAGATCATCTGTTGTGATCTCTCAAGAGATCAGAAGTTACTTGCTACTGGAGGAAAAGATAGAATTTTGAGAATCTGGAACACTCAGACTAGAGAGATAGTGGGAAAATTCAAGGGTCATGTAGACACGATTACATCTGTTAAATTTGATGCTATGAATGATCATCTGTACACTGTCAGTGCTGATATGACCCTGAAGATTTGGCATATGAGAGAAATGTGATATATTGACACCCATAATGGCCATATTGGTGCTGCTTTGGATTTACAAGCCTATACCGCAGATAGAGTTGTTTCTTGTGGAGATGATAGGCAAGTAATTTTCTGGAAGGTAATCGAGGATACACAATTGCTTTATAAGAATACTAAGAATGATACAAATTGCCTCGCTTTGATTGATGATGAGCATTTTGTTACTGGATCAATTGAATCAGCTATTGATCTATGGAGCTTTAAGAAGAAAAAGCCTATTGCTAAGCTAAAGGAATGTCATAAAAACAATACTCCTAAGAATAAGCATGAGTTCGCATGGATCACTACAATAGCTACTGTCCGTAACACAGACTTAGTGTGCTCTGCAGGTATTGACACTAGTATAAATTTCTACAAATTTGTGAGGGATGACAAGACCCTTGACTTAATAGGCTCTCTACCTGGAGATGAAGGATTCATTAAAGGAACAATCAACACTATCAAATTCAGTCCAAAGAAGAGCTACATGGCATATAGTGTGTCTAGCGAGCAGAAGTTGGGAAGATGGTTTACATCAAAGCCATCAAAGACAGGTATTCACCTTGTAAAATTGGCTTATAAATAACTCAATTTAGTTAACTATCCCAGGGGTTTTGGGGTTTTGGGGTTTTGGGGTTTTGGGG